CAAATTTGGCTCATATATTGAGACTAACGAGATACATATGTGCATATGTGCTCTAAATTTCATAAACACACTTCAAACCGTTATTTAGATATTAACGTCCGAAAATCGTCATTTTTATCACTGACTGACCTATAGATCAAAATTCTAACCCAGTTCCAGATGACCTAGAAAGTTCAAATTTGGCATACAGATAGGTAGTTAGGTAAATACAAAGGAAAAATCAGAAACTTGAAAATTTTTAGTTTAAAATTTTTTAATACCTATTTAATTTTTAATTTTTAAATTTTTTAATCAATTGATTTTATTATAATTTTGCAATTATTTTATCTATTATGTTTAATTTTTCAATTAATTAATGAATTGCCTCCAATTTAATGTAATGTAATATAATGTTGACTTAAATAACCTTTCCCGTATCGCCGCTCCAAAAATACGACTAGCCGAATATGTGTCGATATTGTCGACCCGCGCGCAGCAACATACTTTTTTTCTATCTATGTATGTAATTAATATTATTTTTTTAAATATTACAATTAAAATAATTAAATAATTATTCTTACAAATTATGAATTATCCACCCAACAGTAGAAACTACAGTCAATAAAATTATGATAATTAAAAATATACTCAAAAAGAGTTAAAATAATTGTATATTCATTTTACATATATTTTATACTCTGTATATACAATAGAAAATATTTTATAATAAATATTATTAATGTTATACGTTAGTAACTGAATTATAGTATTTAGTAATAAACTTAATTATAACCCGTAAACGTAGGAAAATACAATAGTTTAATAAAAACCATTTGGAAATAATTTTATTATGAATAAATAGCTATTAAAAATTTACATACAAAAAGTAATGATATCCCAACAAAACATATATGTAAAATGATAGCCAAGTTCAATTATGTAATATATGCTTTGATTGTTGACTTCAACGACAAAAGAAGTGAGATCTAAATGGACGCCAAGTTCAATGGTCAGTCCTGAAATTTATTTATAACAACATGAAATATAATTTCTTCTTATCACTTAGGATAATGTTTTGAAGCCTAAGGTCTGACTTGGCTAGTTTCTATATACGAATTATGTTATAGCCTTCGCAAGTTCTAAAAAGTTGGGAGTTCTTTTTTATTCTTCTAAAAATTTGGCTTGTTATTTGAAACTAGCTATCGAACATAGTGCTCTTCCATGACTGTTTTAGTAGGTACTTGATGATAATTCGTAAAATATGGAAACTAGCCAAGTCAGACCTCAGGCTTCAAAACATTATCCTAAGTGGCTAAGTGATAAGAAGAAATTATATTTCATGTTGTTATAAATAAATTTCAGGACTGACCATTGAACTTGGCGTCCATTTAGATCTCACTTCTTTTGTCGTTGAAGTCAACAATCAAAGCATATATTACATAATTGAACTTGGCTATCATTTTACATATATGTTTTGTTGGGATACATCTGTACTCACTGTCTATTAGTAATAATAATTATATAAACTCCATAAATACAGCTTACCAATTATAAGACCTTTAAAAGGTTCTTAGAACTGAGTTTACTAAGTAGTGACATAGTGACATAGGTAGGTACCAAATATATATACACACTACGATATCACAATGACAACACTACAACTAAAATGTGCAGAAGAAAATAAAATTAAACTTTAAAACCAATTAAGGACCGCTACCTACTCGGTTCTAAGAAAATCAAGATTATAACGTCAGAGTGTAATATTCTGCAATTATGGGAGATACGAAAACCTAACTTTTAATTTATTCTAGGTATTATAATTCAGTACAATAATACTATAAGCAAAAAACCCATAGTAAATACTAAATTTTTTGGAATTATGCGCGATTTACTCTTAAAAATATTATTTTTTAGAGGGGCTTAAATAAACTAGGGGGCTAATTCCCCCTAGAACCCCAAATTGCAGACGGACGTGATTTACCATTATTGTACATGCTAACACCTTCACGCCAGACGGTTCAACAAATTGAAATTTGGACTTAGAAATATTTTGGAGAGTACATTATAAATTATATAATAAACACAACTTTAATTATCAAACGAGTCTTAATTTTATTAAATAACCTGAAGATCTACCTCACATTCACGGTAATGCACAATAATCTAATCTTAAATTTTATTAGTTATGTCTTCAAAAATAATACAATTTTAAACTTTTTTCATTATTTGAAATAAAATAAAAAAATCGTAGTTCAATGCGATTTGTATGAAATATTCTTCTTTCTGATAAAAAAATAGTTATCAAAATCCGATAGGTATTTCTAGGTATTTCTACAAATTACAAGGCCTGAAAATTATTCCTGTAATCCTTTATCTTGTAGTCTTTTTTTCGATAAAATACACCGTATCAACCCTCCTATACTCTAAATAGGTATCTGGCAGTAGATAAGTTGAAAGTATTGCAACTAAAATATAAAATATTATTTTCAAATGTTATAAAATTGAGGAAAATTTGAAAAACTGGCAGTTAAGTTAAGCACTTACCTAGTTACCTAAATCCTGATAGACGATATTAATAGTTAAGCTATTGATTAAAAATATTCTTTTTACCTAATACATTTTTAAGCTATTCTCATCTTCAATTGTCAACAACCAGCCTTCAGGCTCCCATTAAAATTAAAGTTGGCATAAATGCTGAAATGCCTATAAATTGTCATTTCCCTGATCCCCCGGACAATTAATTAGGTACGCCAATGAATTATGATACTATGACTCTGGCACTCTGTAGACTGTAATACATTTAATTAAACACAACATTTCTTTAACATTGAGTTATTACTATTATTTCTATAATTTCTTAATTAAAAAAAAATAATAGGTATTCACTATTCGATATTAATGTTAAATGTCTTATATTATCATAATATGCAGTTGGCCCACTTTTATTATAGATATTTGGCAAAAATAACAAGTATTTACATAGGATATAGGAATCATACAAATGTAATATTTACGGCTGGCATCCACAATATTTGTAGCTATATGACTCACGAATTAGTAAGAACTAAGAATAATAAATAAACAAAGTAAAGAATATTTTTGGAATCCTCCCACACTAATGTATATCTCAGTCAATGAGGAAGGTCAACTAACAACCACTAATTTTAAATGTACAAAAATAAACTAAAAACGATTGGTGAGTAATAAATACCTACATACATATGGAAACGGAATACTAGAGTATAAATACGACGAAAAACGCACTTTTCATAATAGTTCGCTTTAAAAAATCACAAAAGTTACATCTTTATTTTTCAGTAGATAAACGTTACCTATATATATATATAGGAAGATAAATATATCAGAAACCAATAATTTTTTTATAGTAAGTATTTTTTTAACGTTACATAGATTGTTTATATGTTTTATTTATTTATTATTTATTAATATACATTAATATATATTCAAATAGGTATCTAGGTGGCTGGGTAATAGGTATTATGTATTTATGTATAGTATCAGTATTATTTTTTTACTAGCACTTATTTTCCAAGTAAATTTGTGTGGTTTGTAAAAAAATTGTTTGTTTGTATTTGTGTAGTTTGAGTTAGTTATTTATTACACTACTGGAGTACCTAAATTAAAAAAAAAAAAACTATAGTGTATAATGTTTCCCACCTAGCATTTGGGAAATGATAATATTTTGTGAATATTTTAAGGTGCTTGAATAATGAATACTAATTTGACTAATAATATTTGTTTTAATATTTTCTTCTCATTATAACAAAATATTGTACTATATGATTGCGCATAACAATGTTGACTTAATATTCTTATAAAGTTTCCGTAACAATATTTTTTAAAATATATAATTAAAATGTTTTGTAGATGTTCTTTATAAAATATTTCCAAAAATATGAACTTCTTGCCCAAAGAATACAACTAAAATACTTAAATTTTTTAAATATTTTGACAACTATATTATTTTCCTGAAAATACTTTTACCATAGTTAGGAAATATTTTGCTGTGTGGGTTAGTGTAGGTACCTATAAAAAAAAAAAAATAGCCATGTAAATCACCATATATTGTTCTTATTATTGTATTAAACGTGTTATTTCGTATTTTTAAATGTTTATAACTCATTAAATTCACAGAAATGTCTTTGGTGCCATTGTTCTTCCGAGACTGGTGGGAAGATTTCGAACGCGAGCGATTACCAAGACGGTTATTGGACCAACACTTTGGTCTGGGATTGCATAGAGATGATCTGTCCAATTTGACGTCTGCTCTGTCTTCTCCTTCTCTGAGATCGGCCACATACTATAGACCATGGCAAGGTGTACTCAACAGGCAAAATAGTGGTACGTCCAACCTTAAGTTTGATGAAAAACAAGTGCAAGTTATATTGGACGTCCAACAATTTGGACCCGGCGAGATTACCGTTAAAACATCAGAAGGAGCAATAATTGTAGAGGGAAAACATGAAGAAAAACAAGACGAGCATGGTTTTATATCCAGACAATTTAAAAGAAGATATTTATTACCGAAAGATGTGGACATAGAACAGATCGTTTCAAGCTTGTCTTCAGATGGAATACTTACAGTTAGCGTCCCTAAAAAGGTAAAAAATTGTAATTAACCTAACTTTATACCTATATAGCTAACATGGATTTGATATTTAAATAATCATGAATTTAATATCGTAAAAACCAACTAGAGCTAACATATTATAATATTCTTACCCTAAAGTTTGAATATCATTTAAAGGTCAATCCACTTGCTAATGTTAAACCTAACAACACAAAATCGGTTATACTGAACTCAAATTAGCAATGTTGTACAAACATATAGCATCCTCTTAAACGATAAACGTTTTATATACCTACGACCTACAAATCCTGATATCTTTGCTGTTCGTATTTTTTTTTTAATTTAACTTTCCTTTGTTATTATGTATTTATATACATGTCATTTCTTTAGTTTAGGTTCGAATAATGTATTTAAGTAATCAGTGTTTAACAGTGTAGCATTTATATTTCAACCAGAACTATATAAATGCACAATATAGGTAGTGCACACAAAAAATAAATAAATCTACGGACCCAATAATTAATTAATATATTTTACTTTTTCCAAGTGCGAACTCAATTATTAGTATATTTTTTGTTTCCCAACCATAGACTAAATTGGTTTACTTTGATTTTATATCAGGAGTCGGGTGAGTCTTAATTAGTATAATATATTTTTCTTAATTTATATGTATGGGACTCATTAAGGTATAGGTACCATAGAAGTGGGTTACTTGGGGCAGTTTTAAATTTTGATATTATATTATTTCTCAGTAAATAATCATCATAGGTATCTGCCATATTTATATCATAAGCTGCATTTAGTCGTCTAGATTTAAATTTAAATTTGTATACATAATTCTTGATTTTAAATGCATATTTATTTTTGTGGCTGACCTAAGTTACCATTGATTGGGGCAGCTATTAAATTTAACAGAAAACTCGTTTTGAACATTTTGTGACTATCTTGAGGCAAAACACATGAAGGAAAATGTTTTCGTTTTCAGTATTTTTTCATTTTCATTTTAGTATTTTACACAGGAATATGTCATTAAAATAGTACCTATATGGCTATATCAGTTATAATTAAGTAAAGATACAAATGAAAATGCAATCAAGCTTTTTGACCCAGCAAAAACAATATAAATATATAATTTTTATAGAGGATAAAATAAAAAAAAAATTAATTTCTAATGCCTGTAAATAGCCTAATAACTTAATTATTTTAAAAATTTTACCATGTATAGAAAACGCAAATATAAACAATTATGGGTAATTTTCAAGTATCTATGGTTTTAGTTTTTGAGTTATGGTAAAAAGAAACAAAATCAATATTGTCAAAAACTGGTTTTTCGCATAAAATCCTGTTTTTCTTAATAATTTTTTTGTTTTTTGACGCTTTTGAAAACTATTGGAATTTCCATTTATTATAATGAATTATATTTATCCCACCATAAAAGATAATGAAGTGGATAATTGAAGCATTATTTCAATATTTAAACTACTTGACATGTATAGACACAAATACAGCATACATAAGAACTTAAAAAAAATTAAAATACATCATTGAAAAATCAATACATTCATCATCCCTCTCAAAATCTAAAAAGGTTTATCCTTTAAAAAACATACAACTAAAATTGTGTATACCAACTTGAAAAGAAAATGCATTCTGGATCAGAAAATTTTCCATTTCGAACACTGCCAAAATACAATTTGGTTTAATTCTATTGTAATAAATATTAATAGCTAGCGGATGCAGCACAATTTGTTGCCCATAGAAATTGCGATAGTTCAACTCTTTTTGGGTGTAACTCCTTGCTGCAATAAGTGCAACTGATCTGCCCGATTAACCAATGGCAACCAATAAAATAATAAATACTAATTTCTACAAATTATTTCTCCTTTAACCAATAACAAACAATTCTAAACAAAAATTTCCATCCCCTGTTTGAGCATCTTCCTGAATTGGACCTGCCGTGAATCTAAATCATCTTAGGAAAAAACACTCAACACACACAAAAAATGTCATAAAAATCGGTCCAGCCGTTTAGAAATGCAAAAAGGATATACACATGGACAAACATTCATTTTTATATAATATATAGATTATAGACTATGCTAATGGCTTGTCCCATTTCTTACAATGATACATGAAGTGTCCTACTTATGAGTAAAAGAAACTTAAAGGATTTGATGGAATTTAGAATTAGAATTTTTTGCTTGAGGCATACCTACCCTAATAAGTGTAAAAGAAATATTAATATAAGAATTACCATAATATTAAAAAAAACCTATAGTAATTTAAATGTCCAAACAAAATTTTGGTTTAACTCAATAGGTTTTGAAACTAGTTTAGAAACTTAAATACTAACTGTTCTAACAAGTTTAATCCGTGAATTTTTTCTTTTTATAGGAAACCCAAATAACAGGTGAACGCAGTGTACCAATTATTCAAACAGGAATACCAGCAGTAAAAGCAGCTGAAGCAGTGAAAAATGACGAAACTCCCATAGTTACTGAAATTAAAGTTGAACATCAATAACTTTGTCCTTTTATATTCTACTTATATATTATACAAATAATGGATTTTCTAAATGTTTTATTTATAAAATGTAACTTATGATAAATACATTTTTTTTTATTGTTCATGTTGTCCACATAATTGAATTATTTTTAATTTATAATAATTTGAATGACTAATATTTAACAAGTCATTGAAGAATCTCTTCGATGAATGGACAATTAACCAAATAATGATTTTTACCACCTAAGCTTTTCACAATAGTTAATTCACAATCGGTATTTTCATATTTTTCCAACAATGCAATGCTTTTTTCAGTTATCTGAATAGAATTATCTAAGAAACAAACATAATATTTTGAAATTAAATTAATGACACTTATATAGCTTTAAAAATTAACAATTTAGTGTTTACCTAAAATGCATAGAGCAACATGAGTTGGATGAAATAGTAATTCTGCTGGAAGTGGTTTTATATTTCTAGAACTCAAATATGCAATGTTTCCCAAATCTACAGAATGTACTTTAGCCAATTCACCAGGTTTCATTTGATCACATATTACCCTGTACCACATACCATCTAAAATAAAATAAATTAATATATAAATGTAATTTATTTATTGCATATACAGTGCATACACTAAAGTAATAAATACCTGGAAATTGGCCAAGGCATACTTCATCAGTATGTGGCAAATAAGGATTTAAACTCAAGCTACAATACTCTTTAATCATGTCAGATAAAAGTGAGAAAGACTTTCCAAAACATTTATCTCTCATATAAAATACTCCATCATGAAACACAACAAACTTCATGTTCACAACTGATTTTTCAACTAATTCAATCCTTGACAAATCCATGTACTTGATAAATTTTGAAATATTATCTATATATATTTTACATTTAAAATAATAGAAATTAAAAATAACAATCCTCATTTAGAATTGGAATAATTTTGTAAGTTTAACAAAATAAAATGTAATAGTTTATGTTACTGGTGTGTAAAATTAACAAATTAACAAAAATTAATCTGTCCATACAATTTTTCTTTTTTTCATGGACAACCCAACAGTGTATGAGCAGATATCTAAAGCCAACATAGCTAAATTAATTTGCAATTGAAAACACTAGGATTTAATGCCCATTTTCATATCAATTTATGTGACATACAAATTGATTATGCATACAGACATAAGAGTTTTACAATCTACATTAAACATATCATTTAACCCATTATTTCATAAAACTTAACTTATGAAAAATAAATTATTATAAAAATATATACATACTATCTTCGGCAGAATCATCTTTCAGCCACAAAGGTTCGACTAGACTATACAATATAGAATTCAAGTTTTCTTTTACAAGTGTAATATTTAAGTCAACACATTTCCATCCTTCTGCTTTTGCTTCATCAAAATGCTAATAAAATAATTTTTCATTAACTTAAATTATTACTGTATATTTAACTTATTTTGAAGTATCAACTTACCACAGATAGGCGAACACCAATAGTATGCTCAACTAAATATTTAGCTTCAAACTGGATAGGATATGGTAAAGCATTTTTCAGTCCTACTTTTAAAAAACTAACAGGCATCTATAACAAACAAAAATTACTTAACAATAATTATGCATATTTAAAATTACAAAATGTTTGTAGTATACATTTCTAAAAATCCCTAATACATACGTTATAGCCTTATTAAAGTAGTTTTAAATTATCAAACAGAGGAAACAAAATCAAAATCATATAACTTCTGAAGGGAGGTGGACAGTGCGACACAGTGATAAATATTGTTACTGTTTCATCTCCCTTAAGAACAATATGTACAATAATACTATTAAAAAATAAAAGTGGAAGGAAAAAATTCTAATTATGTCTCTTATCATTCAGAACAAAATAAACGCTGTAGCAATTTTTTTTATTTTTGATATCTTGGTATAAAATAAGACAATTGTCAATTATTAATGTGTATTGTGCATAAATTAAATCGAGTTATATCGGTTGTGTATTTAAAACAGAAACTTAAAATATAAAAAATAAAAAAATTATACTGGTTACATATAACAACATATAACAACAATAAATTATGAAAATTATGTAGATAATAATAATTTAATAAAAATACTTATGTAAGGAAAATCCCAAAAAGAATTAAAAACATTAATATATTTTAACTTAATTTACTCCAAAAAAAATATTGATGTTTAAAAAAATTGTTTTTTTTATTTTTTTATTTTTATTTGGCATAAACAATCTATACTATTTGAAGCACAATAAGTTTATATGACATGAGTAATAGAACATGATTGTTTTGAATAAGCAGCCACCCATTAGTGGTTCTTGGCTAATGATAACTTTTTAATTTTTTTTTTTTTTAATTAATTGTTTATATTATTATTATTCAGAGAGTTAGACATTAAAGTTTTGTAAAAGGTCACAAAAATTGTTAAAAATTAATTTAATAAAATTTAAAATCTTTTTCAGTATAAAGTTATACAGTTCTTGTAGCACAAGCGTCTTTAAATTTTATATATATATACAATATGTTGATAAGAAAAAAGTTATTTCATTTGTTAGGTTTTTTTTGTTACACGTTGTATAATATAGACATAGCTCAATTTAATGAAATCACTAGATTGTTTCCTTATTGAATGACTTTATGTGTTTACTGTTTAATAAATCAGCGAGTCTGCATATTACAGCTATGAATATGAGTATATTATTAAATAATTTTTAAAAATACATACACTTTTATATTCAAACGGTAATTCTATCATTTCAGATGAGTTGATATTTTCTTTAAAAGGATCATCCATGTGCTTCACAGAATAAATTTTGTCACCAAAAAATTTATGAATTCTACCTCTGGCATAGTTATTGGTTAAGGTAGATTTAAATCCTACGATTTCACCATAAAGCGGTTCTCTATTTAAAGGCTGAGCTAAAAAAAAAAAAAAATTTTAAATACTTAAACATAAAAGAGTTAATATGTTGTACAAACTATACATTTAAAGTTATTTTGAATTAGTAAAAAATATATTTATTTTAATTTGGAAAAAATGCAAAATAAAAATAAAAGTGTTGTTAATTGAATTGAATTTTAAATTGTTTTGAGACAATATTTAGACAAATCACAGTCATACCCTTCAACATTTGGTTTCACTCAAAGATTATTCAAAAACATAATTAAAAATAAAACAGATAAAACAAACACCGCACTAAAATAGTTTTAAATCAGGGGTAGCCAACTAGTCGAATCATATTAAAAATTCATTATAAAAATATCTTAAACACACTTCTACACTTTATATACAAAGTAAATTATTTATTAGCAAAGGAACAAATACAATTGTTCATATATTTTTTTTGTCAATTAGAGAATACTAAAGATAAAGTATGGCATATTTACAAAATGTTTAAAAAATGCCATGTACCATATTAATTAATTTGACATAGGATTATAAAATACGTACAAAATCAAATATAAAAATAATAATTACAATTTTTATAGCAATAAGCTGCTAAATTGTTCCAGGATGAAAAAAGAAATTCAAAATGATGCTTTTCTTTTGATCTAATGAATACAGAGTTCATATCTTTTAACTTAAGCAATTCTACCGAGCTATTGCTCTTAAAATCAATATATGAAACACCACATTCTTCAATAGTAGGCTGCCATTTCTTCAATTGCACTTTAATTTCTGTATTTTCATCAAGCATAATCAAAACAATTCTTTCATTACATACACTGCGCACTTTGAATGCATAAGATGTTTTCTAAAAAATTAAAAATAAATAAGAAGTTTCAAGGGATAAGAATTAGAAATAATTATGATCTTACTTTTAACTGTGGAACATAGTCACCTTTGGTATATACTTTAAATGAATAAGCTGGTGACTTAGTATGTTTATTTGGTAGTACTCTAATTTTAGTTGTATTAATTACTCGACCATAATCACTCATAGCGATATTAACACTATTTCCAGCAACCAATGTTACATATCCACGACCATATAAATTAGTTGCACTATCAAATGCGCCCACTAACATTCCATATTTCAGATTATTTCTAAATTGTTTATTTCATTATGAATAATAATCAATACCTATTTGCAAGTTTCAACAACATAATCACCTACATATCTAGAAGATCAGAGCATTCAATATCATTGCTAATAATCTTCAATTTTTCTTGTATATTATCACCATCATTAAAAAATGTAGTCAAACCAGTAAACAAGTTTGGACTTAACTTTTTTTCAATTTTAATTTCACCACCAGAACAATTTTCAAAACGATAATAGAAATCAAGATAATTAAGTTCAAATTCAGGCCTGCAATTTAATCAATAATATTATGTAAAAGTTTATGAACTATGTTACTTATGTTATAAATACTCTTTTATTTTTTCCCATTTTGTACTTAGAGGCTTTCCAAAAAGATCATCATTTTCTAGATTATAATGTATAATTTTTTTATTCATTTTTGATTGTTTAGATTCCTCTATTAAACTTCTTCCAGAAACATTAGGCCCAATATAAATTGAAGTCCTGCAAATAATACAAGCAATTATATTAATCTGCTGAAAGGTAAAAATATACAATATTTATTATTTATTATTTGTTAAATTAAAGTAAGCATATTAAAACATATTTAATAAATAAATAATATGGCTTTTAATTGTCCTCGACAGCATAAATTGTCTCTTAAATTTTCAATTTTGTTCTACAGTCGTCATTTGATAATTCAAAAAATACATTGAACTAAAAGCTTGGTCTCCTCTATAATTAGAAAAAATACATATATTTCGGTCCCCTCAATGATTTGAAATGTCTGTCGGTAGGAGACACTCTATAGTGGATGCTTGCATGTGGCCCTAGGCTACAATTACTTGTCCCTGGTGAGTGTTTCATGAGTAACCAGTATAATTAAATATACTTGACAGTTGTCAGAATACTTTCTTTATAAATCACCCATTTATTTAATTATTTGTGAACTTCAGAAGTACACAAGTTGTGGGAACTTGGCTTAAGGAAGTGATCACATTGAAAAAATAGATAAATGGATCGCAAATGGCTGATTAATGTAATTTTCTCCCACAAAACTAATTTATTATTAAAAACTAACCCAAATGTTGTTTTATTTGTTCCATTTTCTTCAATAAATGTTCCTAGATTTTCGTCAGCATTATTTATTTCAACATCTTCATTTTCTTTTTTAAATGCTAATGATTCCATCTTTTTTTGTGTTCGGCGGGAAATACTCACATTTATGAAAGGTGGAAGATCTAACTTTTCATTTAAAAGTTTGAGTGCTGCACTATAAAAATAATAATCAGTATTTAAAATTATTATTATACTATATTCCATCTAGATTAAGAAAATATCTTGGTGGTGATCAGTTTTTGGCAGATGGCAATCAGGACACACCTGTCCGTCCCACTCAAGTCTACCATCTGTATGCTTGTTATATATTGAAGTCACGCCTTCCATGCCTCTGCACACTAGTCGACAACCAAGTACGGTCTGTCTTAACTACAATAGAATATGAAGCAAAACCACTTTTTGCAGTACTCATGTTGTATTCAAACTGAGTTAACTGAGTCAAATTAGTTAACATAGCCCATTATAAATATTACTTAAAAAATGTTGATTTAAAATTTTTTTAATTAAAATAAATTAATACAAAAAGTATTTTTAATACTGCAAATATTGAAAAAAGCCTATGTAGGAAATACAATGAACATTTTCATAGTAATATTTGTATTAGGTTATCATGGCCAGCCCTGGTTAAAAATTGTAATAAATAATGATTATTTTATTTAAAAAAAACATTAAGTGCATGATTCATTTAGAAACAGTTAAATTACTAACTCATTGTGTTCAAACTGAATAAATGCTTGATTTTCATCATTTCTTTTATGTAAAGTAATTTTTTTAATTGAACCATATTGTTGGCATACATTAATGAAGCCTTCCTGCAATAGCAAACTCTTAGTAAGTCAATTTTATACACAATAATTAGTTTGAGTTACAATTGAAATTTGTTTGTAATAGTGGAGGATCTAGGATTTGATTTTTTATTGGAGGTGGGCATATTTGAGAATCACGTACATAGTCTAAAGACCTGCAAGAGCCGGGCCGGAACAGCCCGACCGGGTCCTCAAAAAGCCCGGTCTGTAGTGACATTGGACCGGGCTTGGGGATAAAATTGATGGACCAGACTGGGCCAAAAATGTACGACCCTTGTAGTTCTATAGTACATACTGGTGTATTACTCGAAAATATATGGTAACGAGAATTCAGAATAGAACAATATTGGGTATACTAATATATTATTATATTATATTATACTGTAATAATAAAAGAGTATATTATATTAAATTAAATTGTATAGTAGGTAGAAAACCTGAATTATTTTTTTTTTGATTTGGGGGTTATTAATTACTCACCCCTCCTCTAGAGCTACCACTGGTTTGTAAATTATAATGATTATTACTTATTAATAATAATTAATAACTGACCTTTACTAATAGCTTTGATGAATCAACCATTAATATCTCAATATCATCAGCATAATCCCTGAAAAAAACCCCAATAACTTAATTAAAATAACTTTTAAATGATTAGAATCTAAATTATATATATTTAATACAGTGGCGTATTTAGGAATTTGTCATGGGGAGGGTCCGGATAATTTTCAGAACACAGAGCCATGGGGGACGAAGCCGCCCCCCACACCACCCATTTACTCTTTATTAAATAAAACATACCATATTTATAAGACGATATAAAATTGTCGAGTTTTTAATTGTTAAATAATATGTACAAAACAAATTAAAATAAAAGCGGGTAAGTGGATGTCACTCTGCTGCTGTACAGTAGGTTACAAGTGGGTCAATGTATAATGGATTGTATTAAACTTGAACTCAATGATATAATATCATAATATCATTGTATAAGAAAAACGATTCTGAGCGAAGACGGTTTGTCAGTCTGGATAGTTTATATTGTTATTATTTATTATAGCCTGTAAGTTGAATTAATAATGAAATACTTTTATTTTTTTCTATGTTGATAGACAAAGTGTTAGAAATTAAAATCCCATTTTTATCGGTTTTTCGTAATTTTTTGGTGGTTTTTACAGTGGCATTAAATAACTATTGAGAAAATCGAAAAATGACCTCTCTAATCTTGATCCAATTTTCTAAAAGATAAGTTACTATATGTCTATACATGTTGAAATCGAAGCACTCCAACTGGAAGAAGTTTTGTATACAGGAAAAAAAAATAAACACCATTGTAGAACCAATAGATCCCTCAGAATCGAATATATAGTTATATGTTATAACTTTTATACAAATATTTCATTAATTACATTAGGTACCTAATTCATTTATAGTTGATCTTAGATAGCTTTTCAACCTTAAAAAGGTTGAAAAAGATCTCTCTGGAGTGGTTGTAGATACTGGCAATGTACAAAACTACAAAATATTTGAATTAAAAAATGAATTTGGTATTTTTCAACCATTTTCAGTACCCAACTGATAAAAATAATCACGATATTTATTGAAAATGTTGATATAACTATAGCTTCGAAATTTTTTTATAAAATCCGTAAAATCGTATGATAAAATTTATTTTTTAATCATGTAAAAACTGCACAACATTTAACATGAACGAGACACGAGTCAATGGGGGGGAGGGGTCCAGACCCCATGGACCCCCCCCCGTAAATACGCCACTGATTTAATAATTATGTTTATATGATAACATCATGTATATATTATAATTATTATATATATCATCATATATTTTAATGTGTGGTAATGATATTCATACTAGGTTTACTTTATTTATTTAAATACCAACTTTAGAATCTGAGTGGAGCGATGAATGTATTGATTTAACAAAGATGTTTTTTTAAAAAAATGTTGTGTCTGTCATCGCTCATAACCTTTTGGTACAGTAAAAATGTTAGGTCCATTTAACCAGCCCCCCCCCCAATTCAGAATCTTGAAATTTTTTTTTACTATTCTTTTGTAGCTGGTTTGTATGATTTGTAATCTAATTTTTTTTTGTTTGTAAAGATTTGGTTTTTTAAAAAAAAAAAAAAAAAATTTTGGTGGGGGTGCTGGGGAAATACCCTTATTTGGAATTTTTATATAATTTAGATTTTTTTCAACTAAGCTTTTATTCTATTTAGATTTTTTTTATTAAAGATTACAATCATTATCAAATTAATCATGGGCCCCCCATGAACATCTTCAGTGGGGCACATTATCTTCTTGAAGAATAAATAAAAATAAAAAATAAATAAATAAAATAAATATTAATAATGAAAAATTTTTTTATTAAAAACCATTTTTAATTAAAAAAATCTAAATAAACGTCTTGAATTGGATAAAAAAAAAGGCAATTTAATTAACAAGCCTCTATTATTCAATTTAATTTTTTTAATAAATTATTGTTTTATATTTAAATCAGTTTTTTATTCAAATTAGACTTTTTTACCTAATTAGGAACTTTTATTCAATTTAGATTTTTCACTAATTTATGGTTTTTTATTTAACTATGTTTTAATTCTAATCAGTTTTTCTATTCAAATTAGACTTTTTTATTATCTAATTCAGATTTTTTTATCCTATTTAGACTTTTTATTCAACTTGCCTTTTCAACCCAACTTCAGCTTTTTATCAATTTAAATGTTTTTTATTAAAAAATGATTTGTTTAATAAAAATTACAATCTTTATTGAATTAATATTGTTAGTAAATGAATAAAAATTATGAATAAAATTGAACCATAGAAATGAATAAAATTGTAATGGTAAATTGATAATTTTTTTTTATGTATAAATTTTATGTGTCATTTATATTTATTCTTATTTTTTAAATATTATATTTTTATAAATTATAAATATTCATTAATTTTTCTGTCTGTAATATTATTAATTTATGGTTCAATTTTGTTATTTTATTAATTTGATAAATATTGTAATTTTTATTAAAAACTTTATCTATTATAAAAAATCTAAATAAAAGTCTTGTTGAATATAAAATCTAAATTGGATAACAAATATTATATAACCAATTATACCGTTTTATATATTTACCTATTTACTTGGACCCTTGTTTTAAATTTTCAATCCTCAGCCTTTAACTACAAAATAATTATTAAATTTTAAATATGATGAATGTTGTCAAAATTCGACCTTTAAATGCTTATAAAATAAATGCCTATGCATTTTTGATATTTTTTAACTGCTATTGTTACAATAAATCAGTAGCCTTGCATTAAGTTTTCACGCTTTTTTACCTAACAAATAAAATGTTATTGATATTTATAGGAAAAAAAACTAAGAAAATTGAAAACTGACAATGTCCGTAAGCAGCTCAAAAAGAGTCAAAATATTTTCAAATTTTTATAGTGTATAGAAAATGAAAATATAAACATTCAGTAAAATTTTCATGTGATATATAAAAAGGAGCTTTAGTTATCTGCCTGAGGCATTTAGATTGAAATATTTGGATTCGGTTTATATTGGAGTCTTTGGTTGATCCCCAGAGTTGAATTCCATAGGACCAGATAGGTTTGAGGAGTACTTTATACATAAGGATTTTATTGTGTAGTGAGAGATGTTTGGATGACAGGAGGAGGCGAAGTTGTCTTTGACGATTATTTAGTACAAGTCGTTTGTTACGTATGTGGGTAGCCCGCGTGAGTCGCCGATCTAGGTATAAACCTAGGTAACGGACATTTTGAGCGGTCGGGAGAGGTTGGTTGTTAAGTGTGATAGAGGGGCAGCTTATTGGTCTGAGAGTGAATGTGCTGTGGATGGATTTGGATTCATTGAGTTTGAAACCCTATTATTTGTACCATGTCGAGAGGATGTCGAGGTGGGTTTGGATTCTGCTCATGCCTCAAGAGGGTCATGGTGGAGAGCCAGGATGGCATTATCATCGGCGAAGTCACCAGTGGTGGTAAGGTTGGTAGTGGGTTGGTCTGATGTGTACAGGTTGAATAAAAGAGGTGCCGCTACAGCTCCTTGCGGTATCCAGTTTTAATTGATGATATATGCCAGATAAAGCTGAGCCATATCGTATGGAAAAATGCCTGTCTTCTAGATAGGACTTGAAGATTAAGTAGAAGCCGGGAGGAAATATTGACTTTAATTTGAAGAGGAGGCCGTGATGCCATACCTTTTAAAATGCTTGTGCTACGTCTAAGATGGCGCCTGTGCAGATTAGTTTCTTTTCAAGTGAATAGGACATTTTGTCAACAATGCGATGGTGGAATGGTTATTACGAAATCCGAAATGATTGTCTGAGAGGTTTGTATCAATGATTGATTTTTTTTGAGATAAAGGTAGATAAACTTATGAGTAATCTTGTATTATATTTTCAAATCTTAGATTTAAAAAGAAAACTTTTTATGAATTCTCAACTCAAAATAATTTGCTAATTTTCGTGATTTTTACGTATTTTGTCAAGATTTGAACTTTAAATGCTTATAAAAAAAACTGTGACTAAGGATTTTCAATCTTTTTGAACTACTATTGTAAAAATATAATAGGAGCTTTCTATTAAATTTTCAAGCTTTTGTACCCAACAAATAATATTGTATTGATATTTATAGAATAAAAAACTAAAAAAATTGGAAACTGAAAATGTCCCTAAACAGCTCAAAATATTTTAATAAAGGCATGGTGTATAAAAAATGCTAATATAAACAGTCATTAAAAATTTCATGTATCTACGGTCTTTTGTTTTAGAGTTGCACCAAAAACCAAAATCGATTTTCTCGAAAACAGATTTTGCATAAAAATTCCCCTTTTCCCTAAATTGTTCCCGTCGCTTTTGAAAACTACTGGGAAATTTTTACTTTTGACACCCCAAAGTACCAACTAGATTCACTTTCCTATCAGAAAAGATACTGTTGAAGAAAATCCAAGCACTTTTACTGTCCTAAAAGATGATGATAGACACAAAAAAAAAATACAAAAAAAAACACACATCATTGTAAAATCAATACATTCATCGTTTCACTCAGAATCTAAAAAACTGACAAAAAATATACTGTTCCATGTATTACTATAGACATTATATTATAATGCATATTATTATTATTATTGATACAAAATAAAAGTGAAACTTATATCATGTACAATCTATATGTACCATACCTCATGATAATTTTTGTATTAGGTTTATGTTAACAATATTACTGAATGTATAAATGAATATTTAAAGTATAGGTATGAGGTACATACCTACCAAATTTATAATATTTTACCAAACAAGTCTGAACTTTCAGATATTTTTTTTATGATAATATAGTTACTATCAGAAATAAGATCATCCTCAGCACATATTGACATTAATGCATTTAACAATTCTTCAGAAAGGGTTCTCTTAACATTAATTTTAGGTAGAGTAATTAAGGCACATTTATACCATTAGAGGCAAATATATTTTAGGGCAAAGGATGCTGTAGCATCCCAGCCAGTCCGCGCCTGGACGTTTTCAGATAATTCACAAACAGGTATGATCAAAAATGTACAATAATTTTGAATGAAACCAAAATGTTCAAGACAAGGGTATGTTTTTGTGAATCAATAAACTTTAAAATTAAATAATATACTTGATATAACTAGGTATTATAGTGTAAGTAAAGAGAGTATAGTAAATTATTTCATATTATAATCATCAGGTAGTTATTATAAAGTAAAATACAAGTTAAGACTGCGTGTACATATTTTATATGTTCATACACAAATAATGAATGCAGGCTGAAAGTGTATTGTATTTAGTAACATATATTATTAAAATAGAAATAACGATAATTAAATTCTGACTCACTTCTCCATTTTTAATCAAGAAACGCGTTAGTATTAATATTTAATTTATTCTGTTCTAAGCTGTCAACGTTAACTTTATTAGTTTTCCGTGGCTGTCAACTTTCAACTTTGAATTTTTAAATCTAAATAACTCAATTTCAATCACGTGTCCAAAGGGAAAAGAATGAAAAAACTTCCGTTGCAATTTGTATTTTAATGGTATCATATCATAGTATCATGACACAGACAGACAAAAGAAACAAAGCAAGACGTAATGGTGGTCAGCATAGATAATAGAAGAATGGGACTATATAGAAAAATATTTTTGATATTATCAAAATATCGATATTATCCAAAACTTCTAACGGAGGGCCGTACAAAACGGGAATTTAAAATCAGAACGATATTTTCTATGAACCATATTTTTAATTTTCATTAAAAACAATATTAAATAAGACTTTTATTAAGTGATGGGAATAATCGATTTAATTCGATTATTTTAAAATCATTCGATTAATCGTAACCATTCGATTTAATTAATCATGAACATTCAAATGATAGAATAATTCAATAATCGAATGAACATAAATTAGTTATTTAAAAATCATCTTTACCGATTCTTTAGTATTTAATATTTATCGACAATAAAATATAAATAAGTAAAAACTAATGATTTACATGATTATTATTTATTATGTATTATGTTATATTTATCATTCGATTATTTATAATGTAAACATTATAATAAACAAGTTCAAAGCAATGTTAATCAAAATGCATTCGAATGATTTCAATGCAATTGAATGATTAATCATTCGGTGATTAGTTCATTCGATTATTTGGTTATTTTTTTTCAACTACTAATCATTTGAATGAACATAAATTTATTATTAAAAAAGTGCTCTGCTGTACAGTAGGTTACAAGTGGGTCACTGTATAGTGGATAGTATTAAATTTGAATTCAATGATATAATATCATTTTATAAGAAAAACGGTATGTCAGTCTAGGTATAAGACATATTATATATATACGTATCTATCTTATTAAAAAAAATTTACCCATAATAGGATTAGGTACCTATAATAAATTCCAAATTAATCATATCACAATATCCACTTGGTACTTAGAATGCGTTATACGTCAACCACAAACCCTGATACTATCATAGTCCATACTCCATAGTTATATAAAAGTATACCTACTTTAGAAGTTTCGAGTACCCACGAATAATATTACACAATCACATCAAAAAACTAAAATAGTTATTCTAGGTATTTTTTTATGTAATTTTGTCCAAATTTGAACTTAAAATGACTATAAACATAAACTGTGCTTATGTATTTTTTAGATTTTTTGGTAACAGAATTAACTACTTACTTGGAATATTGTTTTAAATTTTCAATCCTTGGATATAAAAGTTGAACATTTTAAAAATTTTTAACCACAAAATAATTATTCAATTTGAAATTTGAAAAATTTTGTCAAAGTCGATCTTTAAATACTAATAAAAAAAAAATTGTGTATGTATTTTTAATATTTTTCAACTGATATTGTAACAATATATCAGGAGCCTTGTATTAAATGTTTACACTTTTGGCCCACGATAAAACTTTATTGATATTTATAGAATAAAAAACAAAAAAAATTGGAAACTGAAAAGTGAAATTGTCCGTAAACAGCTCAAAAAGAGTCAAAATATTTTCAAAATTGTATGGCGTACAGTAAATGCTAATATAAATATTTAGTGAAATTTTCATGTATCTACAGGGTATCCTGAAAATTTCCCCCCGGACATTTTCCCCCGTACTGTTTTTGGCGTAGTAGGACATTTTCCCACGAAAAATGGTTTCGCGATGCTGACATTTCCCCCCCTTTTTTTTTAATTATTTTTTTCATAAATATAATCAATTATACCTACTAACAATTAACTTTATAAATGTATACTAATAAATTTCATTTTTTTTTTTCAATAATATATAAGACATCGAAAAATGGAAAATAAGTAAAATAGGTTAAAAATTTCAATATTTTTTTTTTCATAAATCTAATAAAAACTAAAGTATTGTGTAATAGTTAAGTAAAGATAGTTAAAAATTTCATTTTTTTTTTCATAAATATAATAAGACATAAAAATAGTAGGTACTATTATTTTTTATTTAGACAATCTTTTAAATATAATATTACTATTGTTTTATTGTTTCAAGTAGTTGAATTGATCAAAAATATACATCTACTATAATAGGTAATGGTGCAGAGATCTCCTTAACTAATAACCAAAAAAAAAAAAAATATAAATAAATAAAAATATAAAAGTCAATAGGAAGTGTCACTACTGGGTGGCTTCTTCCAACAAATCATTCACGCCTTTTTGTAAATCAGCCCATATACTTATTGTGTCTCTGGGTACAGATGGTATATTTCTTTTAAAAAATAAAAAAAAAAAAAAAAACTATAATAGGTAATTATAGTATAATTGATTATATTTATAAAAAAAAATTATATTTTACTGAAAAAAAATAATTTCTTATTAAATAATAAATAATAAACTTAAAAAAAAAATGGGGGAAAATGTCCTACTACGCCAAAAACAGTCGGGGGGAAAATGTCCGGGGGGAAATTGTCCGCCATTCATCTACAGTTATTCGTTTTTGAATTACAACAAAATAAGGGAATCGCTCCATGAGAAATCGAGTGAATATCCAATGTTGTAAAAATTTGAATTTCAAACGCTCATAAATATTTAATTTGACTTTCTTATAGACATTTATTTTTTGATAAAGGTAGATAATCTTATAAGAAATCTTGTATTCAATTTTAAAATCTTAGATTTAAAAAGAAAAAGTTTTACGAATTCTTAACACAAAATAATAGGTATGCTAATTTTCGTGATTTTTTCATATTTTGTCAATTTTTGAACTTTAAATGCTTATAATTTATAGTTTTTTTTATAAGTAATAAAAAAAACTGTGCCTAAGGATTTTTAAAATTTTTCAAATGCCGTTGTAACAATATAGTAGGAGCCTTGTATTAAATTTTCAAGCTTTTTTAACCAACAAATAAAATTTTATTGATATTTTTAGAAAAAAAACTAAAAAAAAATGGAAAATGAAAATGTGCCTAAGCAGTTCAAAATAAATCAAAACATTTTGAAATTGTTATCGTGTATAAAAAATGCTAATATAAACAGTCATTAAAAATTTCATGTATCTACGGTCATTTGTTTTAGAGTTGCACCAAAAACCAAAATCGATTTTCTCGAAAACGGATTTTGCATAAAAATTGCCCTTTTTCCTAAATTTTTCACGTCGCTTTTGAAAACTACCGGGAAATTTTTACTTTTGAGTTTTGACACCCCAAAGTACCAACTAGATTCACTTTCCTATCAGAAAAGATACTGTTGAAGAAAATCCAAGCCCTTTTACTGTCCTAAAACGTGATAACGGACACAACAAATAAATAAAAAATAATTAAAAATTAAAAAACACACATCTTTGTAAAATCAATTCATCCATCGTTCCACTCAGAACCTAAAATAATTTGTAAAAATAGAGGTACGGCCTTTTTCAATTTACGCTGTGGCGGGCGATGTATAAGAAGTATCAAAGTATGTAGCATTGCAGCTGTACTCACACACTTGATAGACCGACTGCATAGGCACAAATTGGGGGGGGGGGGGCTTGGGAGTGCTAAGCCCCCCCAAACTTAGAAGTAGCCCCCCCCCCCCAAACCTAGGACATACAGTTTTAATATGCTATATTGCAATGGTCTGCTTGCTTTTAATATATTCAGCCCCCCAAGTCAAAAGTTGAAATTGCGCCTTTGACCGACCGTAATTCACGCATTCAGCATTGTAAATTGTAATGGTAGTCCCGAGTGCTGCTTGTCCGATTTTCTCCAATCATAGTTCATATCCCCACTACTCGGCGGCGTGTAAACACTATTGTAATTTTATTGAAATATGCATTTACATCCAAATATATGCAAGAATATGCAAAATAAAAACTTTGTAGGAATTCCAATTTAGTATGATTTTTCGAGATTATTATTATATGCAAAAACACACAAATCTGGGCTCTGCAAATAACAAAATATAAAATAGCTAGAAATTGTATACTTATTAGGTAAATTTAAAGTATAAGAACAGAATAGATGAAATTTCATCTATTCTGTGGTATAAAGATAACATTTAATTGTTTTCTAAGATAAGCTAAATTGTATTTAATTATATTTTATTATAAGATTAAAATACATTTATCGACAAAAACGTTGTGATTTGTGCAATGCATGAACATAAACTTGCTGCAATTATTAATGAAAAGGTTTACATCACAAACAATCAAATGCAATAAGCAACATTTATATGGTAATATAAAATTATTAATATAAGTATTAAATTAAACATATTAATAATGTTTGTTTATATATAAATGTGTACAAAGAGCTTGCAAAATTAGACTTAAAATATTATATAAGACTAATATTCTAACTCCCGAATTAATTAAAATTAATAGTATCAGCTTCGAAGCAATATTGAAATATACCTAAAATTAACATAGCTTATGATAAACCTTGTGCATATTGCTTAAGCCCCCGCTCTCCCCCCAAAAATAAAGAACAGTCTATACAATTAAATTAGGAACATTTTAAAATATTTTAGGCCCAATGAAAATCATAAATTAATTATAAGAAAATATGAAATAAAAGAATCACAATACAAAATGCTTCTGCTTTCTCTGGGCATATACAAAATTAGATTAACTGAGTTTCAATTATTTCTTTGTCCATATCTTTGGCTTCTCCGAGAATTTGTAACAGCAATTCATGGACAGGTTCAAATATTTTACGGTAACATGTGTCAGTTGGATGTAGGTAATCCAGCATATCTTGAGCACTCAGCGTATCATCTGATTGCAACAGACCTGTATTGACAGTAATTACTTCTAACCGAGAAATTGACTTTACTTTTTCATGTATAATTTCATTAACTTTAGAGTTACGAACACGTAATTCATTTGGTCTGGCTCCACGAGGTAATAAATCCTAGAAACAACAAACAATTAATATAATATAAAATATTTTATTCTAAACAATGACACAAAAATAAAAATGTCTATATTAATTTTATTTACTCTTAAACAGTCAGTCAATTGATTTAAAATGTTTTAGATTTTAAACAGAGCAAGTGGTTTCCAAAAAAAATTAAATACAAGTATAAAAAGGTGCTCTGCTGTACAGTAGGTTACAAGCGGGTCACTGTATAATGGATGGTATTAAATTTGAATTCAATGATATAATATCATTGTTTAAGGAAAACGATTCTGAGCGGATACGGTATGTCAGTCTAGGTTTAAGACATATTATATACATATCAATGTTATAAAAAAAAATATGCACAGATAAATGATAAGCATTGAGCATACTTCTTATTCCTTATACTATGGTAGATTGTATGGATAGGCCATAATATTTTGATTTTTTGATATGTCAGTTTCATATATCCCCGAGAATATTTTTAAATTACAACAAAAAACCAAAATCGTTAATATTGATTTTAATATATAATTTCGACCAAATTTGAACTTAAAATTACTATAAAAATAAACTGTGCTTGTGTATTTTTTTAGATTTTTTGGCAACAGAATTAACTACTTACATGGAATTTTAAATTTTCAATTCTTAGATATAAAAGTTGAACATTTTAAAAATTTTTAACTACAAAATAATTATTCAATTAAAATTTGATAAATTTTGTCAAAATTTGATGTTAAAATGCTTATGAAAAAAAATTGTGCCTATGTATTTTTAATATTTTTCAACTGATATTGTAACAGGAGCCTTGTATTAAATTTTTCACTTTTTGGCTAACAGATAAAACCAATAAAAATTGGAAACTGAAAATGTCCTTAAACAGCTCAAAAAGAGTCGAAATATTTTCAAAATTGTATGGTGTATAGGAAATGCTAATATAAACAATCAGTGAAATTGTCATGTATCTAAAGTTATTCGTTTTTGAATTACAACAAAATAAGGAAATCACTATAAGAGAAATCGAGTGAATATCCAATGTTGTAAAAATTTGAATTTCAAACACTCATAAAAATTTAATTTGACTTTCTTATAGACATTTTTTTTTTTGATAAAGGTAGATAATCTTATAAGGAATCTTGTATTCAATTTTAAAATCTTGGATTTAAAAATAAAAATTTTTACGAATTCTTAACTCAAAAAAATTTGCTAATTTTCGCGATTTTTCCATATTTTGTCAATTTTTGAACTTTAAATGCTTATAAAAAAAAACTGTGACTAAGTATTTATAATATTTTTCATCTGCCTTTGAAACAATATACTGGGAGCCTTCTATTAAATTTTCAAGTATTTTTACTCAACAAATAAAATTTTATTGATATTCATAAAAAAAAACTAATAAAATTGGAAACTGAAAATGTCCCTAAACAGTTCAAAATAAATCAAAATATTTTGAAAATGTTATCGTGAAAATGAAAATATAAACAACCAGTGAAAATTGCATGTATCTATGGTCATTTGTTTTAAAGTTACACCAAAAACCAAATTCGATTTTTTCAAAAATCGATTTTGCGTAAAAATGTCCGTTTTCCCTTAATTAGGGTTTCGTGGGGTAAAACGGAAGCCTATTACTAAGGTTTGCTATTTGTCCGTCTGTCACCAGGTTGTATCTCATGAACCATGAAAGTTAGAAAGTTGACATTTTCACAGATTATGTATTTCCATGGATGCTATAACAACAAATACAAAAATCCTTTTTTTTTTTTCGAGTTAATTGAGGGACGGAATAGGAACCGCGTTAGCATTACTTCTCCTCAATACTAAAAATCCTAAAATATATTATATAAGCAATGTTGCTAACATAGCTGATGATGGTACGGGGCCCTTCGTGCGCGAGTCGGACTCGCACTTGGCCGGTTTTTTTTCTTTTGTTTTTCTTGGCGCTTTTGAAAATGACTAGGAATATTAAATTTTGACCTCCCCAATGCATCAACGATATTCACTTTCCAATCGAACAAGATACTGAAGTTGAAAATCGAAGCATAATTTCAACTACTTATCATGTACCCAGACACAAAAAAAAAAAAACACACATCATTGTAAAATCAATACATTCATCGTTCCACTCAGAATCTAAAATTAATAATGTATCAATATTTAACCAATTAATATTATAAATAGGTACATTAAACATGTTAATTCTAATGAAATTATCATTCAAACTTGTTGATTCATTGTTGCTTTTAAAAAATAATAAAATTGTTCTACACTATATATATAGGTTTATTACCTATATAGAAAATTAAATAAAAAGTTTAATTAATAAAAAGCAGTAATTTATATTAAAAAGTTTTAATGTATCTTAAAATAAAATATAAATGACATCACAAAATAATTACCAATAAGATGATATAGCACTCAGGCAGCTTGGATTTGATTTCTTTGATTATGGTTAAAATACCTTCTGATATTTCATCAGGAGTATTACCAAAATTGTTTGTACCAACATGAAGAACACACGCCTAAATAATATTATTCAAATAATATGAGGAATATGGTACATTAATACAAATCTTTAATTAGGTACTTAGACAATAATGTGAATAACTTGATAAAAATAAATTATAGAATACTTTAACTTTTGTTTAGTGAACAAGATAATATATACTTAAGTATTTAGATTATAATATTATTATTAAAGTGATAATTTAATTCTAATTTCAACACTACATGATAGCTATGAGTTATGTTCATAATAATATTTGAAACATGAAAGGAACTAATAAAATAATACAAATAACTAATTTAATAATCATATCATTCATATATTATATTTATAACAATCAAAAATAGACGTTTATGGGTCCTCGTTATAACTAAAGCCGACACTTGTATACATTTGCATATTTTTATTGGGCGGTCAAAAAAAAAAAGGCTAGTTTATACCAAAATTTGTTTTTTGCATATTATGATATTATTGCATTTTCAGGGCATATTTTAGAATTTATTAGAATTTTGAAGGATTTGTAAGACACAGTGAATCAAGAATCACAAAATATTAATTTGTTTCATTCATATAAGTTACGATGGGTAATTCACATATTAATAAAAGTAGTTAAGGTAAGGTCAAAAATTAATTTCTAATGATCAAGTTGAAGCAAAGTTTAACTTTTATTCATTCAAACTATGAATTGTACACAATACTATAACATATTTACGATTATTTAAGAAGCAGAATGTTTTACTAGCAGACTCAATTAAATTAATAGAAACTGCATGAAGTAAAATAAGTTAGTGGTACAAACGGCATTGATATAAACCAAAAATGTCAAGATATTTAAAAACAAATTAAGGTTTTCATATTCTTACAAAAGTTTCAAAAGTATTATTCGATGATGTAAGCAACGATTTTTTGAGTTATGAATTTGCAATGTGTAACCTATGTATGCAATGTTGATGTAGAATGCTCTTTTCTACTCTACAAAAATTTGCTAACCATAATTGCTCAACGCTGATTGAGAATGTATCCAAATCATTAATTGTCCAATGCAATCGGGTAAGAATTTAAATGTTTATCATTTGATATTGATGGGTTGTTTTGTTTACATTATTAGCTATTTATTTAAAACATTTAACATTTTTGTTTAGTTTTCAGATGAAGAGAATATCACAGATTTTTACAAATATTTGGCAGTATAATATTATATTAAAAAATTAATTATTTAACTAAAAAATACAACATTACAATTCATTTTGTTTTTTAAAGCATATTTTGGTAATTTTTAGAGCATAACTACATACATATTTTATACAATCTTAGGGTATATAATTGTCGGCCTTAGTTATGACCAACTAATAACTATCAGTAGCTTTAAAAATGTGTTAAATAAAATAAAAACCAATTTAATGATGGAAAAATAATAATTAAGCCTCATGATCAAATTAGTATCGGCGATTAATCTGTCAAAAATAAAATTTTCAAACTATTTATGACTGCTACTATAAATCTATTTTAAAAGGGTAGTTGTACTTACTAACTACTAAATACTAATATCCTATGACTATTAAGTATTATTAATTATTAATTATCTGGTATATAGAGTAATGTTTTTATGTACGTAATAATTTATGATATTGTTGGCAGCAATAACATTGCAAAGATAGGATACTGATAATATTTTACCTAAAATCTTAATTTGAAGAATATATTCAAGCACACAGCAATGTGGACTTTGATGGTATACCTCTTAAGTGTATTGTTTGCCAACTATAGCTCAAATTAATTTAATAATATAACATAGTACATTAGCCAAAAAAGTATGTAATCAAACACATACCTATATAATTATATGTATATTATATACAGGGCCGGATTGGTTAGGTGGGCTACCAAGAAAATCTCGGTAGACTGCTTAAAGTTTGGGTCAGTCACGTGAGTGTGGTCAGTTTGGATGAAAATAAATTTATGTTTAAAATACAACTTATCACTTATAAGCTCCTAACATTTCTTAACATAATTTTGGGCCAGTGAATATGTAATTGGGCTGCTTAGAAGTGAAAAAATCCTGGTATTAATCCGATACTAACAATCCGGCATTGTATAACTGTATATATATATTAAAATATTTTTATAACTAACTTACCTTTGGTTTAATATTATCAAGAATGCCACTTTGGATTCTCCATAATACTCCTTGGGTTAGATCACCACCAATACCAAAGTTTAAACAATGGAGGGGTTCAAATAAATCATTCCATATAGGACTTGACTGTAACTTCTGTATAATTGAGTCACCAATCATTATAACATCTGGTTCACGTTCTTTCGCTTCAGATACATGACGTTCATGCTAATAAATGTCAAATAGATAATATGAGTATAACTAAATATTTAAAATTACAAATTATATACCTGGCTCATCCATCTGTTGTCTCCTTGTATATCAATGGGAACCTCAGGAATTATACAAGGATTCATTTTAATTAAAAATTGTATTATTTACTTTATTTCAAATAAAATAAAATTATAATATAGATTATTAAGATAATTATCAAATATTTCAATAAGTAATGATTTTAAATTAAGTAGTACAAAAATAATTTGGGTTGTCGGATGTGACCTACAAGTTGCAAACACCAAAAATCTTGTGCACCGAACAATCGTAGTGTAGTAGTGTACTAAAGTGTAATTGTAAATACTAAATATTATAATATTATATTTATATAGTTAATAGTTATGTTGAATCACGAATTCACGATTAAAGATATTATACAGGTTGCACATCGACTACTGATAAGGTGAAATACGAAATGACTTCCAATAATTAACCAGTAACGCTCCAAGCGGCAGTATTACAATTAACCGATTATAGATATACAGGTGTAAAATTAGTTCCAAAAGTCGACACATATGGTTTAGTGTTGACATCAAGCGCTACTAGCTAGTTATTAACAGCTGTTTTATATAGTCACTTTGTAAATCAATCTGAAAGCCGTTTATTATAGGGCGATGTGCAACCTGAATATCTAATATTCTAATGTGTGTTGAATACTCGAATGTTAATAAAACTACATAAAAAAAAATATTTGAAGTGATTTTAGTAATTAAAGATATAATAATTTAAGATGTTATACAGGTTACTCGACAAAACTTATTTTTTGGTGCACGAAAAGTTAACTATTTTATCATAGCAACAATTAGCGATTTTACGTTATAGCGATTTATCTTGGTAGGTACTACAAAATTGAAAATATATCAAATTATATAGTATACAAAATTAGGTTTTCAGTTGATGTTAACCATGCTTGGAGCGCTGGTAGTTTTTCTCCTATCGTTGACCAGCTATTTAAAACCAGATTTTGTTGTATCTGTGCAGATGGTCGTTAAGTAGCATGGCATATTGTTATGTATACAGTATACACGTAGATTGATTATAATATAATATAATTATATTAGTATATTATATTATATTATATATAAGTGGCAAGTTGATACAAAATAAAGTTCTATTGAAGTGTGTGAACATTGTGAACATCTAAAATTTCATATAGGTAGGTACAAACTAATAAGTTGTACACACCTTAATTATTGGCATAGGTTAATATGAATTGTTTATTTTATATATAATATTACATTTATTTTTAACTAAATGTTCACAGTAAGTTGAGAAATACTTACTAGAGTATACAAATATATTAATTTATTATAAATGATGTATTATTCAATTTACATGATTATAATATTAAGTAAATATAAGAAACTAATATCTAAAATAATGTATTATATTTTAGAAAATGGGTAGTGAATATGGATCTATATTATTTTATACTACTAGTATTTTACTTCAACATATCCAAAGAGATTCAGCTTTAAATTATTTCTCACATAATATTATCATTGATGAAATACACGAACATGACACCATTAGTGATTTTACATTAACTATTCTCAAGAGCATCATACCTGTTGTAATTATATGCATATTATGTTTCTTGCTATCGTAGTATTTTATTTAAATTGTACTAATTTTTTTTTTGTATTGTAAATCCAGAGACCTGATTTTAAAGTTATATTAATGAGCGCAACATTAAATGCTGCAGCATCTTCCAAGTATTACAATGAACCAACACAAAGATCTCGCAAAATTAAACCTGGTGATCCATTCACTGAATTTGTAATTCCTTATGTAAAGTAAGTATGCATGTAAAAGATATATTAAGAAATATTTACTTACATATTGTTAACAAATAATCAATGTAATATTCAAATAACAAAATCTTTTGTAGTGAAATTAAGAGATTGCAAAAATATGCTTTTGCAATATTGAATTGGTTGGAAAATCCAATGTCTAAAGATACAGATTATGAATTGATTTTAGAACTCATATACTAAATTTGTAACAATAAAGATGATGATGCAATACTTGTGTTTCTTTTTGGATGGGATCAAATATATATGCCAGATTCGTTCTTGTCTCTTGGATGTAAGTTTGCTACTACTACCTATATAATTTTTTATGTTCATAGATATCTTCTAAATTCTAATAACAATTTAATAATATAATATATTGTTTGAGCGTCATTAATATATACATTTGTTTAAAATTATATAATACATATTTTGACATGTTGGCTTAAATATTGGAGTTAATTTACCCATTATTAAACTTAACATAAATGTAACAATATTACTTTACTTATTATTGTATATTTTGTTATAATATTGTCATATGTTTTACTATTATATTGATTTTTATATTAACCTTATGGAAGTAGACTAAAAGTGTATTGCATGAATGCAAACATGTTGCACAGAGTGCATGCTATACCCAAGAATACCCAAATTACATTTCAAAATCTATATCTTTTAGTAATTATAATATAAGATATACTCTGTCCCACGAGAGACCATGCCGCGCACCGACCAAAACTGGTTCCCCTACGCCACACCCTGTCATAGGGTAACCAGTTTCGACAGTAGGGAGACGCAGGGAGATGCGCAGAACCGGCATGATCTCTCGTGGGACAGAGTATAGTAAATACACCAAAATATAATTTCATAACAAAATTAAAATAATTTGTCATGTTTTAGATTAGTTGAATAATCATCTTCTGAAGAATCACAATCAGAAAAGACACCAATCAAAATGGATAAAAAGATTACCAGAAAAAACAAAGAAATCCCAAAAATTGGAAACAATCAATTAATAAAGATTTGACTGAAAAAGGACTTGAACATGTATTTAAGACAGGCAAAATAATTTCAGCCAAAATTGTAAACTTTCTAAGGTCTTGTAATAGATGTGCATATAGTTGTTTAGTTAATTTTGATCGAGATTAAATAATAAGTATCACGATTTATACTAAAGTCTCAGCAGAAAAGATAAAATTGGATTTATCCTTAACTATAAATCCTTAATTACTTCAAAAAGTAAAAATAAATCAAAGGACAAAATTTTACCAGTATAGTTTCTACAAAACTGATAAAATATTGATTAGAGTCTGCAAAAAATTATTCTTAAACTTATTATGTAGGTATTAGCCAAAGGTTATTTATACTTGTCATTCATCAATGAACCCAATATCATTAACTCCACCTGATAAAAAGCGAGGCAAGAATACAACTAGTCATATTATTAAAGCAGAGGACAAACAATATGCCATAGACCATATATCTAGTTTCTCTACTGTTGAATCACATTATTGCCGACATGATACAAAAAAGCAGTATTTAGAATCTGAGTTGCACTTCCAAAAACGAATGTTGGCCCAGCGTTTTATAAAAAAAAATTAAATGTTTAAAACCTTACAGCTCTTTTGTCTCCTTCCAATACTATATGTTGTGCTATTTGGAAAGAAAAAATTATTGGTAGATCGCATAATGACCTTGCAAGTGTGTTTATTAACATATTACAACATATTGTTGATAATAATTTGGGTATACTAAACATTGTTACATGGTCTGATAGTTGAGTGCCACAAAACTAGAATAAGATAATGTCATTATTGGGTTTATGTTGAAAAATCCCAGAACAAAATCAGTTACAATGAAGTTTTCAGTTCCAGGCCACTCGTGCATCCAAGAAGTGGATAATGCATATTCACAGATTACGAAACATATAAAAAAAATAGATATTTCATTACCATTGTCATTTGTTAGATCTTTACTAAAAGTTAACTCAAAAAAACCTTTTATTGTCTTACAGATGTCTCTAAATAAGTTTAAAGACTATAATATTAATAAAGTGTCAAAACTATATAACTTTAGCCAAATGCAATTTTTTAAAATTTGTTATTTACGCTTTAATCAACATTTGTCTACCATAATCATATACTAAAATGTAATACAAATGTATGTTGATGCTTTATACACAATTTTAGCCGTTCACACAAATGCATTTTTTTTTTAAGTTCAAAACATTTACTAGTAACTGAGTGAATTATTCAAAATATGAATAAGTACTTAATTTTAAAGGATTATTATTTTTTTTAAATACATTTTAACAATTAGAATACAAAAAGTTGTATTCGAATTAAGCCTGAATTTATAAATCAAAACTATTCAGCTAACAATAATACAAATAACAGTTAAGAATGAAAAAGTTCTAATTGATGAATATATTTCTTTTTATTTTAGGTTGAAAAGTTCCTAATTGTAGAACCAATTTATAATAATATGTATTTTATTAATTTTAATACCAACCAATGAACCAATACAGCAAATTATTATTATAATGATGTGAATTAAACTATACAAGTTGCTACATGCCTTAGAATTAAATAGAAGAAGTTACATAAGTTTTTCCACCTGTAACTAAAAAAGTAAAAAATATTTATACTTGAATTTTCCATACTTGGTAAAATTTTCAAACTATTTTGACTCTTTTTGAGCTATAGTCATGAGACAATTATTTTGTAAATTATTTATCAGTTTAAAATTCATAAAGTTCCTTGTCCCAACCACTTTTTTTTTATAAATTTGTAGGTAAAAAATTAACTTCCCCTGAACTGGGTCTATGGAGTATGGCCTCCGGCGGGAGAATGCATTAGATATTAGAATGTCTATCACAGATATAAACTACTGTAAATTATAATTTATATTATATATTTGTGATGTCTATAAATTTGCGGACTAATTTGTTTGGTTAAATTTAGTATGCGATAAATAACTGAAATAGAAAACAAGAATACATTGCAGACCACAATCATTTCTGTAAAATAACACACGATTTATCAATAGACCGTTTATGTGCTGAGTGTAGAAGTTCTATGGATTTATCATATTAAAAAATATATTTTATATCGTCTATGACAATCACCAATTGTCGACATTCGTCCGCGACGATTAACAATTCTAATAATTTTAGTGGAAAAAAAAATAATAAGCCAATTAAGCCATCAATATGGACAGATAGTTGTTAAGCCGTATATATTATTATGTAAGTTTTAACACGAATTCGCACATTTCGTTATGTTCAG